AAACTTCAAAGTTTTGCATTTTGTCCCATAAATTTAGTGCAAACTCATTTGGCAGCAAAAACGGACCTGAACTAATGAGGGGCTATTTATAGCCTTTATTTATTCTACTGAGTCAAATATTCATCCATGTTTCTGTGGAAATGTTAATGAGTTTGATGACGAGGTTGTGCCCCAGAGCCTGCCTGGGATGGCTGCAAACTGCATGGTGTATGCACTGATTTACTGCCTAAAAATGTGAAATGGGCCTGGCGCAGTGGCTCACACCTGTTATCTAAGATTTTGGGAGGCAGAGGTGGGCGGATCACTTAAGCCCAGGAGTTCGAGATCAGCCTGGCCAACATAGTGAAACCCCGTCTCTACTAAAAATACAAAAATTAGCCAGGCATGGTGGCAGGCACCTGTAATCCCAGCTACTTGGGATACTGAGGCATGAGAATCGCTTGAACCCGGGAGGCAAAGGCTGCAGTGAGCCTAGATCATGCAACTACACTCCAGCTTGGGCAACAGAAGGAGACACTGACTCAAAATAAAGTTAAAAATATGAAATGTTCTGAATCCTGAGACACCTCTAGCCCCAAGGATTTTAGATAAGATGCCATAGACCTGTGTAAGGTCGTCTTGTTCGAGCCTCTGTGTAGATGAACTCATCATTGAATACTGGCCACACTCCGTCATGACTATTATTATCCTTTGTTTTCTTTTTCTCTTGCTTTATTTATTTATTTATTATTATTTTTTTGAGACGTAGTCTCACTTTGTCACCCAGTCCAGGCCGGAGTGCAATGGCGCGATCTTTGCTCACTGCAACTTCTGCCTCCCGGGTTCAAGCGATTCTCCCGCCTCAGCCTCCCAAGTAGCTGGGATTACAGGCACCCACCATCATGCCCGGCTAATTTTGTATTTTTAGTAGAGACAAAGTTTCACCATGTTGGCCAGGCTGGTCTTCAACTCCTGACCTCAAGTGATCCGCCTGCCTTGGCCTCCCAAAGTGCTGGGATTACAGGCGTGAGCCACCGTGCCCAAGCCGGCCTAGTTTTTGTATTTTTAGTATAGATGGGGTTTCAGCATGTTGGCCAGGCTGGTCTCAAATGCCCGATCTCAGGTAATCTGCCTGCCTCAGCCTCCAAAAGTGCTGGCATTACAGGCGTGAGCCACTGTGCCTGGTCCTGTCCTTCATTTTCCAATTAAGGAAACGGAGGCTCAGAGAGGGGAAGTGACCTGCCCAAGATCACACAGCCAGGAGGGAGGCAGGGACTGGCTTCCCATTCAGGAGTCCTAGCTCCAGAGTCCATGCCTCAAGCCTTAGCACTAACTTTTTTTTTTTGACATGGAGTCTTGCTCTGTCACCCAGGCTGGAGTGTAGTGGCACAATCTTGGCTCACTGCAACCTCTGCCTCCTGGGTTCAAGCGATTCTCCTGCCTCAGCCTCCTGAGTAGCTGGGACTACAGGTGCGTGCCACCACACCCAGCTAATTTTTTCTATTTTTTAGTAGAGACGGAGTTTCACCATGTTAGCCAGGATGGTCTCGATCTCTTGACCTCGTGATCCACCCGCCTTGGCCTCCTAAACTGCTGGGATTACAGGCATGAGCCACGGTGCCCAGCCGCCTTGGCACTAACTGCTAACTCTTGTTTTCTAGAATAATATATGGATTCGAGACCATGAGGATAGTGGGTCTGTACATCTGGGGACCCCAGGTCCATCCAGCGGGGGCCTGGCCTCCCAGAGTGGTGACAACTCCAGTGACCAAGGTGAGAATCTTGGGAGGTGGAAAGGAAACATGGGAATCAGCCAGAGGATTGAAGTTAGACTGCAAGTAGGACTTGCAGAAGGGCAGAGATGGCTGGGGTGTGGAGTGGTGTCTTAGGGGAGAGTCCTAGGGCCCTCTGGTCCTCCACTCTTCACTGCCCACACACACAGCATGCCTGCCCTCCCTCAGGAGATGGGCTGGACACCAGCGTGGCCTCTCCCAGTTCTGGTGGGGAAGATGAGGACTTGGACCAGGAGCGACGGCGAAACAAGAAGAGGGGGATCTTCCCCAAGGTGGCCACCAACATCATGCGAGCCTGGTTGTTCCAGCACCTCTCGGTGAGAGCCCTGCTGCCCGGGTGCAGGGTGGGCATGGAGAGAGGGAGAAGGGTGGGCCACAGAGACCAAAACCCCAGAGACGCCCAGAAATGGGAGACTGAGATGGCGGGAAATTTTTCGAGACTCTCTTGGAAGTGGAGAGTTGTGACAGGATCCAGCAGCAGTGAGTGTCACCTGTGTGCAGGTGCTGCTCAGGACACTTAACTCACTAAGTCCTCCCCGCAAACCATCCATTAACCCACACATCAATCACCCACCCGCCCACCATCTACCCAGCATACCCTTGGAGGGAGGAGCTACTATTATCTCCATTTAGCAGATGAGGAGGAGACTGAGGAACAGAGAGGTTGGGAGACTAGCCTAAGGTCACACAGCCAGAAGTGGATTCAAATGCAGGCAGTCTGGCCTTAACCACTGCACCATACTGCTTCAAGGACACAGGGGAAAAATAGAGCCAGGAAGAGGCTGAAACAGAGAGACACAGAGACCAAGTCAGAGCAAGATGGAAACAGGGAGAGGCTGAGTCACAGAGGGACAGAGACAGACAGAAACTCGGAGGCAGGGAGGGACTGAATCCCAGAGAGAGAGAGAGAGATACAGACAGAGACACACACACACAGAGATAGTGAGACAGAGAGAGAATGTGAGAGCCACAGAGAGAGAAATGGAGGGCCAGACACAGTGGCTCATGCCTGTAATCCCAGCACTTTAGGAGGCCAAGGCAGGAGGATCACTTGAGCCCAGGAGTTCGAGACCAGCCTGGGCAACACAGCAAGACCCCATCTCTAAAAAGAAAAAAAATTAGCCAGGCATGGTGGCACACACCTGTGATCCCAGCTACTCAGGAGGCTGAGGCTAGAGGATCGCTTGAGCCAGGGAGGTTGAAGGTGCAGTGAGCCATGAAGGCACTACTGCACTCCAGCCTGAGTGACAGAGGGAGACCCTGTTTAAAAAAAAAGAGAAAGAGAAAGAAAGAAATGGATAGGGAGGGGCTGGGCGCGGTGGCTCATGCCTGTAATCCCAGCACTTTGGGAGGCCGAGGTAGGCAGATCACAAGGTCAGAAGATGGAGACTATCCTGGTTAACACGGTGAAACCCGTCTCTACTAAAAATGCAAAAATGTAGCCAGGCGCGGTGGCGGGCACCTGTAGTCCCAGTTACTTGGGAGGCTGAGGCAGGAGAATGGCGTGAACCTGGGAAGCAGAGCTTGCAGTGAGCCGAGATCGCACCACTGCACTCCATCCAGCCTGGGCCACAGAGCAAGACTCCGTCTCAAAAAAAAAAAAAAAAGAAAGAAAGAAAGAAAAAGAAATGGATAAGGAGGGCCGGGTGCAGTGGCTCACGCCTCTAATCCCAACACTTTGGGAGGCCGAGGCGGGTGGATCACAAGGTCAGGAGATCAAGACCATCCTGGCCAATATGGTAAAACCCCATCTCTACTAAAATACAAAAAATTAGCCAGGCATAGTGGCGCGCACCTGTAGTCCCAGCTACTGGGGAGGCTGAGGCAGAGGAATCCCTTGAACCCCGGAGGCGGAGGTTGCAGTGAGATGAGATCTCGCCACTGCATTCCAGCCTGGCGACAGAGCAAGACTCCATCTCAAATAAATAAATAAATAAATGGATGGGGGAGGGCCACACAGAGACTCTGACAGATTCAGAGGGGGAGGGGCTGGGCTTTGCTTCCCTCCCCCACACCAGTGAAGCCCCCTCCTCCATGTCACAGGAGCCCCCCTCCCCCAATACAGTCTCTCTAATCAGATCTGGCCAATTAACCTCTAATTGCTGGAACAGGCGGGGGCTCGCAGGCATGTAATTGTCCCAAGCCTGGGGCTCCCTTGGCCTCCATCCTGGGAAGCGCAGAGACGCTCCTGTCCCACATGTCTGCCTGGGCTCCCCATCCCCCGGGCCCCGGTGGGCCAGACCTTAGGGTTCAGACTGCGGCCGGCCAGGCAGGCAGAGTGACTCTTGCTGGTGGCCGCAGCACCCGTACCCCTCGGAAGAGCAGAAGAAGCAGCTGGCGCAGGACACGGGGCTCACCATCCTGCAAGTCAACAACTGGTGAGTGGCCCAGGAGGGCCCGCGGGCCGGCCCGGGGCGGGAGCCTGGGAGCTGTCCGCAGTGCTGACGGAGACCCCGAGCCCGGCGGAGCCGCTGCCCCTGCTTGCCCCGCCCTGCCTCCCCCGCCGCTGTCCTCCCGGCCCGCTCTGTGTTCCTCTTGGCCTCTCTCCCACTCCCTCTTTTCATTCCCCTCCGTTTCCATGACCGCTTCCCAGGTTCATTAACGCCCGGAGACGCATCGTGCAACCGATGATCGATCAATCCAACCGCACAGGTACAGGGGGAAGGCGGGGACAGAGAGCCTGGGATTCTTAGGAGGGAGTCAAAGCCGGGTCCCGGGCTTCTTGGAGCTCAGCCTGCACCTCTGAACCCCCTTCGCAGGGCAGGGTGCAGCCTTCAGCCCAGAGGGCCAGCCCATCGGCGGCTGCACTGAGACGCAGCCACACGTGGCCGTCCGGCCTCCGGGTAAGCCCCGCCGCCTTAGCTAGGCCCCGCTAGAAGATGCCCACCTGAGATTCAATTCAAGTGGAATACAGTGTGTCACTTGCCTAGTGGGGAGCAGGTGATGCCAAGACAGATTTCCTGGTCCCCCACCTTTTCCTTACAACCTCATTTCTTCCAGACTTCAAGCCTAACGCCTCAGAAGGCTCCACTTTTTCTAAAGGGCCAGCACCTTCTTATGACTCAGTCTATCCTGGTAGAGGGATCCCCTGGTGTAGGAAGGGGTGGGGAAGACTTAGAGGCATCTGGGGGTGTCTCTGAAAGACCCACTTACCCTCCTTTCTTGTCTTCCAGGATCAGTGGGGATGAGTTTGAACTTGGAAGGAGAATGGCATTATCTATAGAGGCTGGATACAGGAGAGGTGTGAGTGTCTAAGGGCTAGGAATTGTGCAATTCTCAAACTTCCATTAGACCTCAGGACTCCAAGCGTGGGCACATCCAGAGTAGTGGGTCAGCCTGGGTCCCTGTACTGCGGGCTCCCTGAGGCTTGATGGGAAGATGTTTCATTCATCCATCTGTCCATCCATCCATCATCCGTCCTCCTCGTCCATCTATCCATCCATCTATCCACTCACTTACCCATCCATATCTTTATCCATCCATTATTCAATTACTCATCCACCCACAATCCATCCATCGAAACCTAGTCCACCCATCTACCCACTCAATACCCATCTGACCACACATTCACCCACTTATTCCATTCATCTCTCCACTCACCAACCCACTCATCCGTCTACCTCCACACTGACCAACCACCCACACATCTACCCGTTTATCTGTGCATTCACCCACCTCCCTACCCAGGCATCCACCCATCTACCCATCAACTCACCCATCCATCTACCCACGAATCCCATTATCCATATATCCACCTACCCACCACCTAATATCCATCCATCCATCCATACATACATACACCCATTCATCTATGATACATGTCCAAACACAAATTAAGCCCTTGGCCGGGCGCAGTAGCTCACGCCTGTAATCCCAGCACTTTAGGAGGCCAAGACAGGTGGATCACCTGAGGTCAGAAGTTCGAGACCAGCCTGGCCCCATCTCTACTACAAATACAAAAATTAGCCAGGTGTGGTGGTGTGTACCCGTAGTCCCAGCTACTCTGGAGGCTCAGGTAGGAGAATCACTTGAACCCGGGAGGCGGAGATTGCAGTGAACTGAGATCAACCTGGGCAACAGAGTGAGACTCCGTCTAAAAAAAAAAAAAAAAAATTGAGCCCTCACTCCATCCTGACGTGCCTCAGGTAGGGTCTGGATCTTGAGAAGATTCTGGTCTTGTGGGGAAGTTGGCAACCCCAGTGACAATCCAGTGCCACAGTTCAAACAATAAAACATAGTTTCCCCATAGGAGGGAGTCATCAGCTATCTCTGGGGTATCAGGGAGGACTTCCTGGAGGAAGTGGCCTCTGGATGGGGCACTGAAGGATGAATAGGAGTCCACTGCGCAGAGTAGGGAGTAATGTGGAAGGGGGGCATTATTTGACTCTCCCAGGCCTTGAGTCTCCTGTGGCCTGGTATGCTGGCAGCACTTTACAGCATCTTCTCATTTAGTCCTTACCATGACCCTGAAAGGGAGAGACTATTACAGTCTTCATTTCACAGATAAGAAGACTGAGGTTCAGAGAGAAGAGGTCACTTGCACAGGTCTACTTACCCTGCTTACAAAAGCAGGGGGAACACCATGCAAAGGCCCAGGTGAGGAGGCAGCCTGGAGTTTCCAAAGCACAGATCCGAGTTTGACTCTCTCTGGAATTTTTTTTTTTTTTTTTTTTTTTTTTTTTGAGACGGAGTCTCGCTGTGCTCCCAGCGTCTGGAGTCGCCGTGGCGTGATCCTCGGCTCACTGTAAGCTCGCCTCCTGGGTTCATGCCATTCTCCCCCGTACAGCCTCCCAACGTAGCTCGAGACTACAGGCCCCGCCACCAGCGCCCGGCTAGTTTATTTGTATGTTTTAGTAGAGACGGCGGTTTCAGCCATGGTTAGCCAGGATAGTCTCCGATCTCCGTGACCTCGTGATCCGCCATATCCCGAGCCCCCGGCGGGTGCTGCTTCGGTCCAGCTGCCTCGCGGATTCGGGCTTGCCGGCCTCGCGCGCCCACCGGCGGTGCTCTTCTTACTCTTTTGTGGCTTCTACGTGCCACTTGGACAACCTCCAACCCCCTCTCCGTTCGTAATCCATCTGTTTCATGACTGTCTCTGCGCTGTGCTGGTGTGTGGGCACAACTCGCCCCATGACGCCGCTCGTCTGGGGGCCACGTCGTGAGGGGACAGACTCCTCCCCACGATGGTGCTGCTCGCTGGCGGCACTGGAATGGTAGAACCGGCTGGGAGCTCAGGGGGCTGGGTGAATGGCTGGGATGGGCCGCGCGCGCGCCGTCGCGCGACTATCCAGACGGGCTTACTGGAGGAGGGGGCATCGTGCACCCAGACTGGAGGATTTCAAGGAGGGCTGCCTGGAGGAGAGGACTTTGGGTGACGACCACGAAGCGAATCGCGCGGAGGAGGTGAGGCAGGAGAGGAGCGTCACAGAGGGAATAGCACGTGCCAAGGCCAGGAGAGCTTTGGAAGGTCTCGCTGGCGTGAGACACGTCCCCAGCCACCCTGCAACACAAGGAGGAAGTTCTCTTGGGCTGGGTTGAGGCAGGTCCGGCCGGACAGGTGCTATGAATTACAGCGGCACAGAAAAGGCCCTGAGAATGAGCAGTGGAGGCCTGCACAGGACTATAAGTGGCTGGAGGCGGGTGCTGGCAGCCGGAGCCTGGGGAAAAAGAGACATGAGTAGGCGTGCCTATCCGGCCAAGTAGCGGCGTGGGAGACCTCAGCTCTGGCATGGCCAAGCGTGCGATGGGGATGGTCTGGAGTGAAGTGTCGGGGGACCCTTTGGATCAGTAGTGATTAGGAGTGGGCCTCTCTCCTCCAACCTGTCCTGGTGCCCAGTGGGCTCTTTTCGTCACTTCCTTTCTGTCTCCGTTTTCTGTCCCTCTCACTCCTGAGCATGGACTCCTGTACCCTCGTCAACCTCCCTCGGGTTAATGATCCTTCTGGCCTCAGCCTCCCAAGTAGCTGAGACTACACGGCGTGCCCACACCACACCTGCTAATATTCCATTTTTTATTTTTATTTTGTAGAGACGGGGTCTCACCTTCTGTTCCCCAGGCTGCTTCGAACTCCTGGCTCAGCAACCTCCTGCCTCTGCCTCCCAAGGTGGCTGGGGGCGTTACTGCGTCGAGCCACTGCAACTCGGCCTCCTCCTCTCTCGTCTCTCTGTTTTCGTCTATTCTTTTTTTTTTTTTTTTTTTTTTTGAGACAGAGTGTCTCGCTCTGCCGCCCAGGGCTGGAGTGCAGTGGGCCGGATCTCAGCTCACTGCAAGCTCCGCACTCCCGGGTTCACCGCCTTCCCTCCTGCTCAGCCTCACGGAGTCAGCTGGCGACTACAGGCGCCCGCCACCCCAGCGTCGCCCCGGCTAGTTTTTTTTTTTGTACTTTTTTAGTTAAGAGACGCGCGGTTCCCATGTTAGCCGGATGGTCCTCGTCTCTCTGACCTCGTGATCCCGCCCGTCTCGGCTCCCAAAGTGGCTGGGATTACAGGCTTGAGCCCAGCGCCCCGGTGTTTTGTCTATTCTCCGTCATGACTCCTTCTCTCTTTCCCATGTCATTCCTCTCGATTCCTTCCAGCGTCCTTCTCTCCTTCGTCCCCCTCTGGCCTGTCTCTCTCCTTGTTCTCTGTCTCAGCCTGTAGTCTCCCTCCCTCCCTCCAATCCTGATTCTCTGTCTCCTCTTTCGCATCACTGCGTCTCCTCTCTCTGTGGCGCTCGCACATCCCCGCGCCATTCCCTGCCAGCCACTCTGTGTTCCCCTCACGTTGGGGCTGATGAGGGATGCACAGATGGGCTGGGATGGGGCCAGGCCCCCTCCCGCTCCTGACTTGGCGTCTCCTCCCCTCTCCAGAGACCCAGCCTCTAGCTGTGACCCCCAGCCTCACACCTGGTTCTGGTTCCCGCCTGGTCCTCCAGCTTCAGGACCCCACCTCCAAAGGCCCCTCCGCTCAACGCCTACCTCCCTAGGGCCCTGCTGGGACATGAGCGCCCACCCAAGAGGCTCTCAAGGACACCGGCAAGGCCTCCAGGCCCTGAGCCCCACTTCTGCCTTCACCTCTGCCTGGGACCTGAGCTGGGCTCCTGGGCCTTGCCAGAAGATGGCAGCTAGGGCCTCGCCGCCGGGACAGAGAAGGGACGGGGTGGCTGGGCAGTCAGGGAAGGAGGGTCGCCCGGATCCGACATTTTGGAGAGATTCCTTCACCCTCCTGTCCCCCCACCTCCCTTCTCTAATTTCTTCTTTTTTTAATGATAAAGTCTTAAAAACACAGAGCCACCAACTGGAGTTCTTGTGTCTATTCCAATATTTCAAATTCTTACCAATTTGAAGCTCATAAGTCACGAATAAGGATACTGATTGGCCGGGTGCAAGCGCGATGGCTCACGCCTGTAATCCCAACCCTTTGGGAGGCCAAGGCGAGTGGATCACTTAAGGCCAGGAGTTCAAGACCAGCCTGGGCAACATAGCAAGACCCCATCTGTACAAAACAAGCAAACAAATTGCCTGGGCATGGTGGTGCACGCCTGCGGTTTCAGCTACTTGGGAGCCTCCCAGAGTGCTGGAATTACAAACAAGAGCCACCAGGCCCGGCCTAGACTCCACCTCTTGACTAGAGGGAACTGCAAAATTCCTGTGAGAGATGTGCGTGCAGGGGAGAATGAAGACTCAGGGCCACGCGTGTGTCACTTTACCAGCTGTGGCTCTCCGGTCACGTCCTCTGTCCCATGGGAAATGAGCAGGTTAGGCATGGACAGCCTCACTTCCAAGGCTTCCGGACGGACATGGGTTCAAATCTCGCCTCTGGAACGCAACATGACTTCACCTGTCTGGACCCCAGTTTCCACATCTGGAGAACGGGGAGAGCGGCTGTGCCTGTCTTATAGGATGATTGTGCTGATGGTGGAGGTATTTTGAGGAACACATGGGGAACTGTGCCCCGTGTGTCAGCGCCTATCAGAAGCAGAGGCTATCCTTTGTGACTAGGAAAACAGGCTCAGAAACCAGTGTGAGTCCCTTGGGGTTCTCAGCTTTGCAGACCTCTGTCCCCTCCAGCCCCCAGAGAGAGGGACCACCAAGGCAGAGTGTGGGTCGCTCCCCTGTTTGGCTCTGTCTCTCTCCCTCTGGTACCTTTTTCTTATTTTTTTTTTGAGAGGGAGTCTCACTTTACTTGCCCACACCAGGCACTGGAATTCAATGTTGGGATCTCAGCTCACTGCAACCTCCGTCTCTTGGTGCAGCGATTCTCCTGCCCTCAGCCCTGAGTAGCGTGGGATTACAGGCATGCGCTACCATTGCCCGGGTTAATTTTTGTAATTTTTAGTAGAGACGGGTTCCCATGTTGCGGCCTGGCTGGTCTTGAACCCTGACTCTAGGTGATCCGCCGCTCTTCAATTGCGGGATACAGGTGTGAGCACGCACCACTTCTTTCTGTCTTCTCTTGTTCAGCCTCTCGTCTCTTCTCGTCCCCTCCCCATGAGAACCCACATCTTGGGCCTCCCCTCCCTTCTCCTTCAGAGTCCAGGTGACCTCTCTCCCGCAGACCCGGCTGCTTCATCCTGGCTCGCTGCCCTCCAGTCCCCCTCTCCCAAGTGCCCCTCAGCCCCTCTGCCATTCAAGCTCCCCTCTGCACCCTCTCCTTAGAGCCATCCTTGGACCGTTGAGTCTCGTCGGCACCCGCCCCACCATGTACACTGCTGCTCTGTGTTCAAGGCCCAAGGAGCACGTGTGTGGGTTTTGAGGGACCCCCTGGGCCCCTTCGGGGCGAGCCACGATGGAGAGATCGCACAGAGACACACACGTTGCTATGAACAGACACACATGCAAATATGACACACGCACACTCCGAACACACACACATGAAGGATGCACAGAAGATATGCCACACTCAGCCAGGCGCGCTGACTCATGCCTGGAATCCCAGTGCTTTGGAGCCAAGGCGGGCAGACCACCTGAGGTCAGGAGTTCGAGACCAGCGTGGCCAACATGGTGAAAACCCCGTCTCTACTAAAATACAAAAAATTAGCTGGGTGGGATGGCGCCTGCCTGTAATCCCACCTACTCAGGAGGCTGAGGCAGGAGAATCAGGCTGGGAGGTGGTAGAGATTGCAGTGAGCTGAGATCGCGCCACTGCACTCTAGCCTGGGTGACAGAGCGAGATTCCGTCCCAAATAAAAAAGAAAGAAAGAAAATATCTGCTGAGCAGAAGAGTGAATGAACAAAATCTCAGGATATGCCAGGAGTGATGGCTCACGCCTGTGATCCCAGCATTTTGGGAGGCTGAGGCGGGCAGATTACTTGAGGACAGGTGTTTGAGACCAGCCTGGGCAATATGGTGAAACCCCGTCTCTACTGAAATATAAAAATTAGCCGGGCGTGGTGGCGCATGCCTGTAATCCCAGCTACTTGGGAGGCTGAGGCAAGAGAATCCCTTGAACCTGAAAGGCGGAGGTTGCAGTGAGCTGAGGTCATGCCATGGCACTCCAGCCTGGGTGACAGAGCAAGACTCGTCTCAAAAAAGGAAGAAAAGGACAAGTGTCACAAAAAGCAGAACAGGCACAGGATGAGAGCATGGGCTGCCACTTTTATGACCTTATGGAGCCCTTCAGTGAGGGCCGTGTCCCGGGCTCTGTTCTAGGAACCATATACCTGAGAATCTGTTGAACCCTATGGCAGCCGCGGGAGGTGGGTGCCATCACGGTCCCCATTTCCCAGACGAGGAAGTAGGACCAGAGAGGTGAAGCGGCTCATCCAAGGTCACACAGCTGGAGATTGTGGGGCTGGGCTCCATTTGAACCCAGGCAGCCTGGCTCCAGGGCCTCGGCACTAGCCACCCTGCTTCCAGCCTCTCTTTTTTTTTTTTTTTTTTTTGAGATGGAGTCTTACTCTCTCTTGCCCAGGCTGGAGTGCAATGGTGCGATCTCAGCTCACTGCAACCTCCATCTCCCAGGTTCAAGTGATTCTTCCACCTCGGCCTCCCGAGTAGCTGGAATTACAGACACCCCCCATCATGCCCGGCTAATTTTTGTACTTTTGTAGAGATGGGGTTTCACCAAGTTGGCCAGGCTAGTCTTGAACTCCTGACCTCAAGTGATCCGCCTGCCTTGGCCTCCCAAAGTGCTGGGATTACAGATGTGAGCCACTGTGCCTGGCCTGATTTTTAATTTTTTAATTGCTTTTGTTTGTCTTTGAGATACGGTCTCACTCTGTAACCACGGCTCACTGCAGCCTCAAACTCCAGCACTCCAGCAATCCTCCTTCCTCAGCCTCCCCAGCAGCCGAGACTACGGCCACAAACCACCATGTCTGGCTAATTATTTATATTTGTTGGTAGAGATGGCTTTTCACTGTGTCTCCCAGGCTGGTCTTGAACTCCTGGGTTCAAGCTGTCCACCTGCTTCAGCCTCCCAAGATGCTAGGATTACAGGCATGAGCCACTGCACCTGGCCTGATACTGTTTTCGTGACTATGATGAGAGTATTATCTCTTCCCAAAACTCCCCGGGACTCAGGTGGAATGGGTGATGGGTAGACAGCAGGAAAGACTTCAAACAATCACCCTCCCTTAAAGGCAGGTGGGGGAAGGAATATGAGGGAGGGGCAGGGCCAGGCCAAAGCTTTGAGGTCGGCTGAGAGGGGAGGCAGTTGTTTAGTGTATCTCCTGCCTGATGCAGGGGAGAGGTCCCAGCGGCTGGGACACTGGGAAGTGGGGGAGGGGACAGCTCTTCTCTTCCCCTCCTCCCCCTTTTCCCAGAACCTAGAAATGCCTCTCATTAACTGAATCCTGTCTAATTAAACCAATTGGATGTGCCTGGGGAGAAGGGAAATTGGGTGGGAGGTTAATTGTAACTAAAAATACCTCCCCCACTTCCTGGGAGGAGGAAGCGGCCGCAGGACCTGCGTGTATGGTAGGTGGGCATCGCAGAGCAGGAAGGGCCCCTGGTGCAGGGGCATCCTGGGTCATGGGGGTGAGGACCCAGGGGATAGGCAGGCGGGGCGCGGGGGCTGCGGTCATTGTGTGTCTGACCCCTGTGTTTCCTCTCGGCCTGTGGACTTGGAATGTGGTGGTCGAGGGCAGTGGTGGAGGGATGTCAGTGTGGCTGGAGCCACCACCCGTGTGTCCCGTTGCTGAACGTGGTGTGTGTGTCGCTGAGTGGCAGTGTCTGTCACACGTGCCTTGGTATAGGTTGTGTGTCTCTGTGTAGGTTCCTGTCTGTGACGATAAGACGGCACTTGGGTTGGGATTGTGTGAAGAGCTGGTCTCTATCAGTTGTGTCTGTGTCCACGGCATCGTTGTGTCGTGATCACTCTCCTCCTAGGTCCGAACTTACAGTGGGACTTTGGGAGGCCGAAATGGGTGGATCACCTGAGGTCAGGAGTTCAAGACCAACCTGACCAACATGGTGAAACCCTGGCTCTTTTAAAAATACAAAAATTAGGGTGGGCACAGTGGCTCTCGCCTGTAATCCCTGCACTTTGGGAGGCCAAGGCGGGCAGATCACCTGAGGTCAGGAGTTCGAGACCAGCCTGGCCAACAAGATGAAACCCCATTTCTACTAAAACTACAAACAATTAGCCAGGTGTGGTGGCGGGTGCCTGTAATCCCAGCTACTCGGGAGGCTGAGGCAGGAGAATCGCTTGAACCTGGGAGGCGGAGGTTGCAGTGAGCTGAGATTGCACCACTGCACTCCAGCCTGGGTGACAGAGCAAGAATCGGAAAGCCTGACTCCAATGGGGATAACTGGATCTCAGGGTGGCAGGGAGCAAGTCACCGAACTTAATCACCAAAGGCAAGGTGGGCGTCGTTACCGCTTGCACAGCAGAGTCCAAGCAGCCATCAGAGTGCTATGACTTGGCCGGGCAGTGGCTCAGGCCAGTAATCCCAACAAATTGGGAGGCCCAGGTGGCAGAATCTCTTAAGGCCAGGAGTTTGAGATTAGCCTGGGCAGCATAGTGAGACCTGTCTCTACGAAAAAATTTAAACAATTAGCCAGATGTGGTGGTGCTGGCCTGTGGTCCCAGCTACCAGGGAGGCTGAGGCAGGAGGATCACTTGAGCCCAGGAAGTCGAGGCTGCAGTGAGCTGTGATTGTGCCACTGCACTCCAGCCTGGGCAATAGAATGAGACCCTATCTCTAAAGATAATACATTTTTAAAAAGAATTCCAGGAACCCACCCCTAAAACCAGCCCTTCCCCTCCCTCTGCAGAATAAAGGCCCCATCAGAGGGGACATGCTGGGCGTCAGGGTCAGAGGAGGAAGGTCAGAGCTAAGACCTG